GATCCCAAAAATGGCTCCACAGCATGTAAAAATATAATATAAGCTCTGGCGGACTTGGTTCTATGGTAGGTCTTAAAGGGTTAATCTGAAACTCAAACAACGATCACCTTCTTCCTGAGGAACGTTTTCCAGTTCACGCTTCTTTACAAATTTAGTGGGTTTATATATATTTTTGCTTCACTGCCGTTGATGCCGCAAATGACGAAAAGACTGACCTGGACTAACATCGGCCTTTTATGTTTTCACGTTGTGTTTGTGTTTCTTAGACCTCCATCGGGCTGGCTCGGCTTGGATCGGTCTGTTCTCGACCTTGTAGCTTTGACCATTGGAGCAGTCCCCGGAAAAAAGGCGGAGCTTCCTACCACACCAACTCGCACCCAAAGTACAGCTCCACCAGCGTCGACGTACCCCGCTGAGGCCAAACTACAGTCCAGCTGGTAGGAACCGCCTACAGTGTTATTGTAGATGCCAAGCATTCCTCCCTCCGATCACTTATCCTCACCTTCTGCCTCCGTGTTGATTTCTCAGTGAAGTACGAGCACTGTGCCACCACATCGCCACCGAGCCCGGACAGCTGAGCTTCAACAAGGGCGACATCCTGCGCGTTCTGAGCAAGGCTGACCCCGATTGGCTGCTCTGTTCCCTGGGCTCCACCCGGGGCTTGGTTCCAATTGTCTACGTCACCCTCAACAGCATGGAGGACAGCCAGGATGCCCCCGGTTTCGGGCAATGCTGAGCGAGAGAAAACTGTCCGACAGATGAAGCCAAACAGACATGGAGGGTATCCCTCCCGCACACGGACCGAACACAAAAACCTGTTTTTGTCTGTAATTTAAAGGAAAAAAAGACAAATCATTGTAGTGAAGCTGGAGAGGATGCAGACATAACTGCGAGGGCAAGCATGCAGGCAGACATCTGCTTCAAGGGTACATCCAGACACGTATGCATGCATACATCCAAAAAAACAAAAAAGCACCCCACGAAGATCACAAACAAACCCAAAGACTCTCAAGCGCTTCTTTCTCTGCCTCTCCTTCTAGCTTAGCAATGTGCAGGTCCAGTCTATTTATCATCCAGCTCTAATTTCAAAAAAATAGGAGGCTCTCTCGTGCTGCACACCTGGCTGCACCGTGCTGTGCAGCTGTGCCACACGTTGAACGCGCCACTCAAACGATCGCCCTCGGTGCCGGCGCAGGTTAGTTCGACGTCCTCTTGTGAACGTAGTGCTAATATGATCTTTGCATTCATGTAGAAGTGAGTGAGTCTTTGCTTTTTGGTGAGATTGATATGAATGTAAGAGCTTTTGGAACTTTTGGATAAATGTTCTGTGATTCAGCATATTTTTATTATTATAATGAGACGGTGGAGCTCGTGTCAGCAGCTGTTCAGACATTCAAAGTGAAAAGAGAGCAGAAGGAGAATCAGCTTTTTCTTTTTATCTGTTTTGTTTGATCTGCCTTCGTTTAAGCGTGACTGTTGGATGGATAGACAGTCAAAGGTCGTGTCCAAATTCATGGGCTGC